TTTCTATCAGCGCTCATTCAGTTTATATGTATTTTTACATGTATGTGTGTACATATGTCACATACTTCGTCTGAATAGATTTTCGAGACCACCACTAAATCAGATATATGAGCTGAGTTCAACATATTTCGCTTAAGGTGATGAAGGACTGCTAGTTGAATATTCATACAGTGATATGAGTGGGTATGACGTTTCCTTTGAATTTCTACATAGCCTTGCTTCCCTAAAAAATATTATCACCTAGACTGAACCACAGTTTCGACACCCTCGGTGGGACTCGAACCATGACACTTCAGCGTATAATCTCGACACGTTGACCACTAAATCACATTGCCAAGAATGTCCTTGGGTCACTGAGCAGATGTGAACTTCAAGGCTGGTCAAACATTTTTCCATATCGCATGCTGTAGTGGGATTGTCGATGTTGCTATAATGCCATGTATACTCATATCACTGTGGACAAATACCAACTACCAGCCCTTCATCACCTTTGGTGTCATTTACAAAGAATTATTAATATTCAAAATCAAAGATCGGATAGAATATATGAAGACCAAGATGTTGTGGCCTCTGGTATGGTCGCAGTCTCCTTTCGATTCATAGAAGTGGGTTGACCTCGTTGTCGCAACTTGGTCTTGTTGTCAGGGTGACTAGGTAAAACGCACCTAGTCCGAAGTCGTCTGCCATAGTAGTTGTCATGATCTTGATACATTCTTAAACGTTTCGCCGGCATCGTAGTCGGCATCATCATTCAGTTTTGTCATTCGCCGCACCAAGCTACGAACTCGTCAAAGAGACAAGTGAAGTCAATCCCTTGACAACCGTTCTGCCGAAAACGGTAACACAGAAAGAGGAGTGATAGTGTAACCGTTTTCGCCAGAACGTTCAACTTCACTTGTCTCTCTGACGAGTTCGTAGCTTGGTGCGGCGAATGGCAAAACTCAATGATGATGCCGACTACGATGCCGGCGAAACGTTTGAGAATGTATCAAGTCGACTGCCTGTTGCTGGGAGTCATGACAACTACTATGGCAGACGACTTCGGACTTGGTGCGTACTACATAGTCGCCCTGACAACAAGACCAAGTTGCGACAACGAGGTCAACCCACTTCTATAAAGATAGGATAATTTAGAAAAGGATGCGAGAGAAAGTAACTTGAAGAGTTGTAAAAGTTGAGCAGCCAGCCTCATGTCTAAATATTTTGCCGAACAAATTAGTTGCATCAATAGAATATGGTATGACCAACTTTATGCTGGTTTTATGGAAAAAAGGGGTTGTAAAGTATAGTCCTTGCTCCATTTCTACGCATGTCCATGGCTCGAATCGCGCCGAGCAGGCTGGAGTGGCAGTAGGGCAGCCGGCAAAGTGGGCATTCTCTTCAACTCCTCGCCATCGGTACTACAAGAAACCAGTCGCAACTGGTATGTCTTAAGAGCGCTAAGCCCCCCAAAACTTTGAGCCAAGAAAGGTCACTAACTTTATAATGAGAGAATGTGCCAAATAGTCGATTCATGCCGACTTGATTATCTACATCTTTGCAGTGAGTGCCCTGAATAGAGACTTGTTGGGTAGGTATAAAAGTCAAGAGTTGCTTGGATATTGATGTCAAAGAATGGACATCATTGTCTTAGTAAGAAAAGAGAGATTAAAGCCTAGCAACTAGGCCCACTGGCAGTCTGAAAGGTGTTCACCGATTTTATGATTTCGCTTGCATGATAGAAGAATTAGCTGAAATAGGGTGGGAAACAATCATACAATTTTTGGGTATTTCCCCTTCGAGACACGTCTCCGCCTACCCGTAGAAACTTCTTTTTTGCTGGCTCTTCGACTTGACGACTTTTGACAACTAGCGCTGCTAACAGCAACATTGACTTTGAACCTTTGCGTTTTGCGCATTGTTTTCCCGACCTGACTACATTGACTTTTCTACCACTTGCCAACAGCTAATTGCACCCTTGGCTAACGCTGGACAGACGAGTGACCAAGGGTCGGCAGAATACACTTTAACCTTTGATATCTTCAACAGCACCGTAATGACCGATGTGTTCTCCTCATCCCTGGACTTCGAAGAGGAGACGACGGAAATAAGACTGAAGGCACGAAAAACAACTCTCTGCCACTACTTCACCAAGGTACCTTAATCCAGTTATGCGTGAGTGTGTCCGTCGTTATCTTTTTATTCATGTATATATTTATACTGATATTTAATTGTATATATGTGTGTATGCATCTGTGGTTCAAGAGGTCCAAGGAGCCATGTCAATTTACGCCAACCGGCTTGCCTGACCGAGCAAATGTGGAGCTTCTGTAGGCTCGATTGGGTCGGGTTTGAATAGGAAAACACGCTTAGACTCAGATCCTTCGCCATACACACTCTTGGCTACGATGTCGAAGAGATGTTGTGTCACATCGCCCGTCGGCAATAGGTAGTGTGAATAAAGCCCGGGTCTTCCAGACCTCAAGCATGTCTGGAAGACGTAAAACATCTGCACACACCTTGGAATTTCTCTTGACTCCAAACCATTTGACTTGGATTAAGTTTGCGTATGTATGTATGTGTTTATGTGTGTGTCATTAGTTACTATGATGCATAACTCAAAGTTTCAGCGATCACCCCTACAGCAGTTTTCATGACCCAGATATCGCGATTCTTTAATCGCGCTTTCAAAGCTTGACTAAGTCCGAAATCATACAAATTCCATCAAAACCAAAGTAATAAGAGAAAACTCTGATTAAAAAACAACATAAAATAGTCTGCCATCTCTCAAAATAGGAATATCTAGTTTTGAGTAGATTTTCAAGACTATCAGTAAATCAGATATATGAGTTATGTTCATGCTGCTGCGTTTAAGGTAAGGAAGAACTGGTAGTTTAATTTTCCCATAATTATATGTGTATATCTGACGCTTCCATTGGATTTCACATAATCTTGCCTTCCTACAAGAGGTTTTCATCCAGGGAAAACGTCAGCTATACTCATATGATTGTGGGAAAATTGAACTGCTAGTCCTTCACCACCTTAACCTAAATAGGGTGAGCATAACTCATTGGGATATCTAGACCACTATAGAACGATATGAATAAAAAGTGGGTTTTGATGAATTTCTTAGTGATTTATTGTGACATGAATTTCCATTTGAAGGAATTGTTGGTTGGAAGAAATTCGCCAAATGGTATCACCGAATGAGGATTGCCGCTGAGTAGAAACTGTATGAATGTACGTCATAATCCGTACAATCATAATCCGTGGCGCAAAAATATACTAAATCAAGAGAAAGCGTGGCCGGCTATAACCTTTTACTTGCTATTTCAATGAGACATCACTTGATTTGTTTTACCACCCCAAGCTTTATTTGCATGCTTGCAGATGAGTGAAATTAATTCATGAACCATAAATGGATTCGGTAGCAGCTGCTTCCCTACCAATAGAAATAAATCAGAGTACGCTCCTTTGATGTTGGCTTATGTTTAGGTAGGTGCTAATTCCTATAGTGTGTGTGTAATTTTCATGTCATGAGAGGTGTGATTGTCACAGCCTCCCTCTCTTGCGAGCATATAGATTCAGTTTGAGGTAGCCAACCAAATCATGGGATACCTCATTAAGTTGGCAACAAATGGTATATAAAAAGTGGCTGCGGTTGCAACCAGTCATCAATTCTCTTGGTGGTATTATATCTTTGCCCAATTCAACCAGTATCTCCATAGGATGATTCTGCTCATTTGAAAAATCATAGTTTTGACCTTTCTCCAAGAGGAGCTTACCATTATCATCCAATGATATACTACTTAAATTATTACTTTATTTTTGCTAGAATATATAGCACTAAGTTCAACTACATCCTAATTGTTTCGACTATTCCCTGAGTTGAGTTTAATGCCTAAAGTCCTTAATTTTTTATTGTGCTAGCAACTGTGAATCTTATTCATACTTTCCGCCAGACTGTCCGCCACATTCTTTAATGTGAAAAAGCCTTCTTTGGAAAGTAGCAGAGAAAGGGGTTGTCTAGTTATCAATCTAAAGAATATGGTTATGCACTAGTCATCATGAATGGTTATGTTATATAGAAAAATTTATAATTGATTTAAATGACTAAGAAACATACAGACTTTCAGTAAGGATCCTACAAAGAGTCGTAAGGCCATACTTAGGGAATCGTTTAACGTTTGTGTTAGCAAAGGAGAAATTAAGAAGTCAGTTGAGTCAATTCTTCAAAGAGACACTGGGAACCTTCCTCAAGCGGCTTTTAAAAGATACCCAAGAAGAGAGGTCCTCTAAGATTGATTGTTAATAATAATGGAAATGCAATGTAGAAAGTTAAGGAAAGTGACTAAGTATTAGAAATATTCAGTGAAAAATGCATACGAATTTGTTAGATTGATAGAGCCACAGAGTATTAGGAAGAAGGACCAATTAAAGAGTTTCGATGTGGTATCAAAGTATACCAACATTCAAGTTGAGAAGGCTATTGAAGCACTAGCACTCAGTTTTGATGAGCACCCAGAAATTATTAAGGAAGCAAAGTTGAGCAAAAGCTCAATATGAGGGCTACTTAATATATCTATGAGTAGTGCATGCTTTACCTTTAATAATATGAAGTTGTTTGACCTAGTTTTCGTAAATTGGCCATATTGTTAAGAAAACCTAGAGGAACGCACCTTGTCTGGAGTCTAATGAATGCATTATCATTTCAAAAGTCGGACCGTGAACGTGGTACCTTTCCAGACGTTTCGCTGGTATCGTTATCGGCATCGTCAGTAGGCCTTGCCATACCTAGCACGCAATAAAACTCGTCATAGAGACAGGTGCGAGGCCTAGCAATGGGATCTTGTTTGGCTTCTATTTTAGCGAATAATCACATGTCAAGAATGGAAGAAGGCTTCATGGAAGAGGTAAGCTAGACTCGAAAACTGTCAGTTGGATATATGGATGACAACTTTGCCACATGACCGCATGGTGTATGTAGCTTAGATGATTTCTAGTTATTAATTAAACAGATTGACTGAAATAATAAGTTGACAATGGACAAAGGACAGTAATTCACCCTTTTTAGATGCCTTAGTGATCGGAGCAGGTGAGAAGTTAAGCAGGGATGTATATAGAATGCCATAATTTTTTTTCCGATCATAGCTACATAACCAAGGTTTGTGTTTTAAAATCTCTAATTATACGTGGCGTAAGACTGGCCGATAGAGACGAGTGTGAAAATGGACTAAATCGGCTCAAAGTGATATTTATTGAGAATAAATATCTCCTAGATTTGACTGAAATGGGGAACAAAAACGGTTTTCAGGGAAACTACGACACTTTCTTCAGTTATGCCCAATTCAGAGCGAAAGTTGACCCACTATCCAGATCCGGTTGCTATAATATAATGTGTTCATGTAGTCACTTCTATATTGGATGGACTTGTCGTTCCATTCAGCAAAGAGTGACTGAGTACTCGTCAAAAACTGAGTATGAGATTGAATGACCTTAAACTTTTCGATTTGCTGATGATGGTATGTTTGCGACTAAACACAAAACTAGAGAAGCCATCGAAATAAACCGAAAAAGGAATATATTGACTGTAAGAAATTAAGTGACAACCAATTGAGCCTAATTAATAAAATCAAATAATGAGAGGAAATGAGGCGACTAAACTAGTCTTTTCTTGTATTGTTTCTAATCACGGTCATATATGCGAACACATGCAGACGCATACAGACACACACAGACAGACAAACTCACATGCTTTGAGGTTAGCATTGACTTGAACTAACCAAACCACTTTCTACTTCATCAAAGAGGTTAGATAAAGAATACTGAAATGGCACTTAGGGATAGGCCGGTCAGTTTTCTTGACTCGTTAGCTTGAATTTTCTTCTGACCATGTTTCCTCGCTCTGATGATGTCCGTCATATGACGGACGAAAGCTTAGCACCTTTTTACCGGAATTGAAGGAGATTGCCTCGGAAACAGCGTCAGCATGAATGTTCCAGTAAAA